CAAGAAATACCCAAGCAGCTTTCACAAATTCAAAAATCAATATTACAAGAGAACTTAGATGGGTTAAATGGAGAAGACCACCTAAAGAATGTTGGATTTTGAACTCAGACGGTGCATGCAAAACGAACACCGGAGACGCTGTGGCCAGGGGCTTAATAAGAAACAAGAATGGCGACTAGATTAAAGGATTTCTGATAAGCATCGGTAAATCGACCAATGCAGTGGCCGAAATCTAGGGTATAAGACAAGGTTTACGAATCGTGAAATTATTGGGAGCGAGAAATTTAATCGTTGAAGCCGATGCAAAATGGGTAATTGATACCCTAAACAAGGAACAAAGCGATGACATTCAAAATTACGTAAAGGATTGTGAAGAAACGATAAAAGAAGCCTGGATATTGGAATTCGACATACATGGAGGGGGGAAAACAAATGTGCTGATCGACTGGCCAATTTGGCGTTTGAAAGAAGAGGGACACACATCTTGACAGAACCACCAAAGGGACTCTTACCTCTGTTACAAGCATAGAGAGATGATGAAGCAAGAGTGAGATGGTAGATTGCTATGTGCAATCGTTTTGTATTATTCTTTTCTCACCAATGTACCAAAAAATATGAATTTATAACCATGTCAATATTGATGTGCAAAATTTAATCTAAATATACAATATCATAGATATGAATATGGAAAAAATACAAAAACCGGTCCATATTCATCCTAAAAGAACCGGACCTATCTTTATATTGACAAAACAGACAACGGCCATGTTTTAGATTTGAATTGGGTGAACCGGAAATAGCCGCCTAGATGCCGGCTGGCTTGGCTACTGTTCACTGGCGTTCACACAATTAACATGGCGCCAAATCAGGGGCATCAATTAACATTTTAGCACCTCATCATCATGATCAGAATGCTATGAATTTCAAGATCGTCAACAACTGCGATTAGTCCATGACCTTGTTTCAGATTGATCAGAAATTAAAATATCAGCTGACGGGTTTTGTTGTGCGATTCGCCTGGGCGCTTGCAAAATCGAAAATATTTGGTCAATCACTATTGAACATTCAAATTTCTGATATTTATTTTTGTTCGTTTGTTTATTTTAGTTTAATGTTTACAATTATTGTTACTAATAATATGAACTATTTTTTTCAAACCGTTGATTACGACCATTTAGTTGAAATTAAACTTAATTGTTGAGTTAAATAAACTCCGATCATAGTGAAATCTAGTGCAATTCTTCAGCTAAGGATGGCGTCAGAGGAAGATGATGAGCAGAGCTATTCACCGAAGAAGAAGAAATCAGAATCTGAGGATGACAAGAGGTAACTTTGTGTTTTCCTTTTCCCGTATTAATAGGAGAAAATTATGAATTTTATTTTGGGATTTTTAATTAATAGGAGAAAGAAAATTGTTCCTGGAAGCTTAATGAAAGCTTTGATGAGACCTGGAGTAGGTGAATCAAATCCTGCAGATGGTGATCAGGTTATATGTTTTTCTATAAACTCTTCGTACTCCGATCTGGGAAATGCAATTTTTTTTTTGAACGAAAATGTATGTAGTTTGACAAAACAATACAATGGATTGCGTTGTGAATTGATAGTTTTTGTTTTCTTTTTAAATGTTTTGTAGGTTATATATCATTGCACTGTTAGGACATTGGATGGAGTTGTCGTCGAATCCACGAGATCAGAACATGGAGGTGAATATACCCTGATCGTTTGAGTATATTTAATTTAAGTTGAGGGACAGTTTTGTATGCTTGCTTTCTGGTGAATCATGGAATGTTAAGTTCGATAAGTTGGTCTCATGTTAAGAATGTGTCTAGTTGAACTGTCTAATATTATATGCTTTCTTTTTATTCAATTGACTTCTGTTTATGTGATAGGGAAAGGTATTTCAATAAGAAATGTATTGGGCAAGAGCAAAATGATATTGGGGTTGTTGGAAGGAATTCCAACAAAGCTGAAGGGTGAAGTGGCTATGGTATTGTCTTTGTGGTTCATTGAACCATATTTGTGTTTGTCACTCCAAAATTCTTAACCAAAGTAAAAATAAACGAAGTATTGATTTGAAGTTTCCTTTTATGTCTTATAAAGATATGGTGACATTTGTTGTTTCAGTTCAAAATGATGCCTCAAATGCACTATGGGGAGGAGGATTTCCCTGTTCCAGCTCCTAGTAGTTTCCCAAAAGAAGATGATCTCCATTTTGAGATTGAGTTGTTCTCCAAAGCTAAGGCAAGAATTGCTAAAGCTCAAATTTAATATTTATCCTTTTTTTCTTGAAGTCAGGAATTTGTTGGAGCGTGGAGAGGTTCAAAATAAATCAATTACTATTTTTTTAAGTATAAACTACCAAAATTGAAAACAAATGATCAAAGAGAATACGAGCACTCCAGGCTTGTGTGGGGGAGGCCGGAACATCCTCGCTACACCCCTGATTCAGTGTTCTTAGACAATCTTTCTTAGTAATGTCAATAACATTGCTATGTTTGATGTGATGATGGTATTGGCATCTAGTTGTCATTGGTTAATTTGCATGTAGCCTGAAGATATCACCAGACGAATTATTTTTTATATGGTAGGTAATAGATGAAGGCCAGGGTTGGGAATCACCAAGGGAACCATATGAAGTAAAAGCTTGGTGAACTTGCTCTCCAGCCCTTTTTCGTTTCTTTTGTTTTCATTGCACTAAGTTTTCAGAATGGTTTGATCATTTTTCAGATGTATCATATGTGAATCTTTCAGGATTTCTGCAAAGACAGGTGATGGGAAATTGATTTTGTCACACACTGAAGGAGAACCATATTTATTTACTTTGGGAAATGTGAGATTAGTGATTTCTCTGTCCTGTAGGTTTTTTTGGTTTCTAATTAGTCATCGTCATTTCTTCATCTGATTATACGTTTGATCAATCCTTACTCATGTTTTCATGCTAAAGCTCCTTTTAATATTATTCTTGTTCCTGATTCCATAATATTTAGGTACCTAAAGGTCTTGAGATAGGAATAGGAACAATGACGGAAAGAGAAGGCAGTAATTTATGTTACAATTAAATACTTAACCCCAACTCCCTTGTTGCCCGTGATAGAAGGTATGGAGAAGTTCATTTTTAAGTTGAGCTTGTCCACTTATCCAGGTAAATTGTTTCCCTTTTGTGGATTTTTCACATGTATATTTATCTTCAGATAACCTAATTGTGGATGGAAGTGAACTCTAGAGTGTTGGACTTGTAGGTGAGGGATATGTTGTGGGAGATGGTCGCCTAATTAAACGACGATTACGTGATGGAGAAGGTGCTCTTTGTTATTTGATTATACTTTGCCACGAAGAGATATTTGTTTGAGTACTTTTCTATTTTCTCTTCCTTATGCTACGTGAGAATGATTGAAATAACAAATTAATTGTCAATGTGTCATTAATTATTGCTCATGTTACATTATCATTTTATCTATTCATTCATTCAAAAGTTTTATTTGGAATGCTACGTGAGATTGATTGAAATATCAAATCCGTTGTCAATGTATAATTAATTATTGCTCATGTTACACTATCATTTTATCTATTCATTCCTTCGAAAGTTTTATTTGGAATATACTTTTAACAGTTTCTATACTCATTCTTCTTTGATGAAAGGATACCTAGGATGATGCTTCAAAATTGTATGAGCAACTTATATGCTAGTTACTAATTCTATTTCATATTCCCGTACTGTATGTCAGTGGTCCTCTTTGTGTGGCTCCATGGATAATTTTCTTTGTTGCTTGGAATAATCAGGGGAATTTCTAATGGATTGCCCTCTTCATGACAGTCTTTTACGTGTGCATTACAAGGGCATGCTTCTTAACAAAGAAAAGACTGTTTTCTATGATACAAGAGTTGACAACCACGGTGCACCTTTGGACTTCAGTTCCGGAGAAGGGATGGTAAGTTCTTATAAAGTTGAAAAGGTGTTGTGAATTCTTTTACCTTCACCTTGTGCCAGTTGAAATCAGATTGTCATATCAATACCAATCATCCAAATTGCATTGAATAAAATTATAATGCTAGACTGAGACTGTGCCTTGATCTGGTGAGCTTTTTTCCCCTTACAGGTGCTTGAGGGATTTGAAATGTGTGTCCGCTTGATGCTACATGGAGAGGTTGCACTTGTGACATGCCCTCCTAACTATGCATATGACAAATTCTCAAGATTGCTTTTTTTCCCTTTTCCTTTGAATTTTTTATTTGTTTTGCTTTTTTGTGCATGATTGGAGTGCCTTGTTTCCAATTTTATTAGGCCACCTAATGTTCCTGAAGGTGCTTATGTTCAATGGGAAATTGAGCTTCTTGGTTTTGATATGCCAAAGATAATAAAGTCATATTTTAGGAACTTTCCCTTGCTTATGTCTTAGATTTCTTATGGTGTTATACTCTAGTTGAGTCCTTCTACCTATAAACAATTATGTCTTAGGTAATAATGTCATCTTTTTTTTTATTATTAATAGGTAATAATGTCATCTTTGGATGCTTAATATGGGTATCATAGGGAAGCTTTGTTTTGCCTTCCTGCTTAATCCCATGTGAGGTGGTCTACATGTAGGCCCTTGTTGAGCAAAGACGTGGGGGGAAATATTAAATGGTGTTATTATTAACTCTTGGGTTTCGTGTAGTCTTATGTTCAAATTAGACCCTTCGACCTATAATTTATTGGTTTTAGGTTGGATGCTTAACAATATGGTCGTTAAATTGTCATGTGCACCAAGATATTTTAACGAAAGTAGTGCATCATTTTTCTTTTCTTTTTCACCAGTATAGAGCCTAACTTAAATATTTATTACAGGGATGAAGTAGAAAAATCAGAGTCACGGTATGTGGTTTATTATATCTATGATTGCAAGCTGTTGCTGTGATGCACATTAATTGTTTCCTCCATATGCTTGTTGTGCTGAAAGACTACAAATTTGAATATTTAACCATTTGTCTGCAGGGTAACCGGCTCTTCAAAGAGAGAAAATTTGAACTTGCCAAGGCAAAATATGAAAAGGTAGTATAGAAACTGGTTTCCCTAGAACTTAGGTCACCTTTGGGATTGTGGACTATGTATTAAGCATCGATCAAAGATTCAATTCTAATACGAGCAATTAAATCAAATTGGTCTACCATTAGGTAAACAAATAAAAATGATAAAAAAATTAAATAGCCCATATTTGGAATCCAAGCTGTAGACACCCGTTTTTATCCGGGTCTATAAAAAATATTATTATATTACATATATATATATATATATTATTATTATTATTATTATTATTATATTTATATTTTTCATTTTGTGTAGGCATGAAGCCTAACAATCCCCAGTAGCCTAGATACAAGGCCTAATCCCCAAAATCCATCAACCAGCAACTCGATTGAAACCCAGATTACAACCCAAATCGGCTCAGCGACCCGTTCAGCAACCCAGGTTGGAATTAGGGTTTCTAAACCCTAAATGCATCAGACCCTTTAGCTCCAGCCACTGCAAGTGAGTTCCAGTTTCACAGCCACGCGTGTATTGCACTGATATCACTCCAGCCGCCGTTCAAGCCGGATTTCACTCCCGAGCCGCCTCCGTCGTAGGCGATATGCAAATATATCCAACAGTGAAAAATAACAGTAGAAAATCAGAAAAAAATCCAAGAAAGCCCGAGGCAATCTAGCCTCTTTCACATTCCAACCCCATCGGAGGCAGTAATATCACTCAACCATCAAACATCAAGAAAAAATAACAAGCAGAGGCAAGATAAAAGAAAATGAGGGGAAGAAAATATCAAGAGGCCAATCGATGAGAAGACAGAACTGATAAAAACCCAAAGAAATGCCTATCCCATTCGAACCCCGAACGAAAAAGAAAAAAACATTCAAACAAGAGAGGGAAGCTAGAGAGAACCATTCGAACCATAAAAAAAGAGAAAATAGAGGGAGAAGCCCTTACCTTCATCGAAGGAGCGACGGGAAGCCCTCAAGTCGTCGAAACTTGATTTTTTTGAAAGGTAATGGCTTAGATCTACAGCTCTAGGGGTGTTTTTAGGCTAAGCTAGGTTGGGGAATAGGCTGAGGGTGAAATGAAGAGTGTTTTGAGGGAGGTTGGGTATCTCCGACCACCGTGGGCCGCTGTGCACCACAGTGTGCGAGCGGCAGCTCAGCCCCTCACCGGAGAGAGAGTTGAGAGAATTCTCAGACTCTCTCTCTTCCCTCGGCTGATAAGTGAAGAAAATGAGGAAATGTGAGAAAATAAGCCCTTTTGTTCGGGCTTATATACCAAACGTAAAACGACATCGTTTAAGGGGACCTTCAGCGTGTTTTATGCTAAGGGTAAATAGTTGTTTAGGTACCCCATGCTTTATAATTTTACTTATCAACAAGTTAATGAATTTATATTTATTTGATTTTGAGCACTTATGTTTCAATTTTTATATTTTAGTCATGTTCTTACTTACTTTGTTATTTTTATTAGAGTTTGACTTTGGTCAATACATTTGTAAATGTTTCATTTTAGTCACTGTTGGGCATTTGGTTTAATTACTATTTAGTCTTGCATGTTTATGGTGTAATTTATTTTAGTCCCCAATATTATTTATGGGTTATTTACATTTTTGGTGACTGTATTTTAACATTTGTGATTTGGGCTCTGGTATAATTTGTAATTACTGTTTAGCCCTTTTAATTTTTGTTTTTATTTTTTTAGTCCTTTAAATGTTTGTATTTGATATTTAGGCCCTTAAGTTTTTGTTTTTATTGTTTTAGCCATTTAAGTTTTTGTTTTTTCCATTTTTGTTCTTTAAATTCCTTTTTGTACTATTTTGGTCCTTTGAGTTTATGTTTTTTCTATTTTTTCCCTCAAGTTTCTGTTAATCATATTTTGGTCCATTAAATTTTTTATAGTTCTGTTTTAATCCTTTATGTATGTATATATTTTAATGTTATGTATTCATTTGTATCATATGTAAATAAATATGTTTAACTTTATTTGTTGTAAATATTTTATTTCGTATATTTTTATTTTTATTTCTTTATTTAATATTGTCTGAATATATTTCAAGAACGATATTTGTAGAATGGCGTGGAAAGCACCACTTGATCCAAGTGATGTAATCCAATATGACATTCAAACCAAATACGAACTTGAAATAAATCAATTGTATTTTGCTAATTTTTAATTCATTTCATTTTAAGTCAAACATTGCAATGAATGTCTCTAAATAATAATTTATTTCATTTCATGCAAATTGTCGATCTTCATTCTACATTTTATATTCGATTTTTTTAATCAATTTATTTTGTTGTATGTAAACATCAATTTTTTTATATTTTCAATTTGCATATTTATCGATGATGGAATATTTTTTTACAGATAAAAAAACGAGATAGCTTTCCCGATAGAGGATTGCTAATCTCGAAGTTTCTTTTCAAGTTAAAGAATTTTCCCTAATTAAATAATTCGAGACAAATTAATTAAATCTCATTAAACGGATCATAGGTTAACTTTATATTTGATTCATCATTTCCACCATTTACGACAATGTGTACGCGACACAGTACCAATTTTTGTCGCTGTGGAGGTGCTAATCCTTCCCCACACGTAACTGACTTTCAAACTCGTTTTAATCGAATCTTTGTAAATGCAGACCAACTTTTTGTTTTAAAAACAAATTTTCTTAAAATTTTTTTAAAAAGAGGTTTTTTACGTATCCGACCTACCTAACCCAAAGGTCGGTGGTGACTCTTTTCCATTTTATTCAAATTAATTATAAATCACCAATTTTTTAAAATTAAAGTCATAATCGTTTTTAAAATAATATTTAATTGTTTTTTTTACAAAATGGTTATGACACAAGCTTACCATCGAATCCAAACGTTTTATTAATGGATATAGGGAAAACCTAAATACACATTAGTTAGCAGAGTTTATGTGATATTTCTACCGTGGTACATTTAAGTGCATATGTAGTTCAACTCCATGTGTTTCTTTCTTTTTAGGTGCTTCGGGAATTCAATCATGTTAATCCACAAACGGACAAGGAAGGAAAGTGTTTTTAGACACAAGAGTAAGTATCATCCTGCCTCATGATAAATGATAACTGAAAGTAGCTATCCTGTCCATTAATTTTATCGGGTGGTACCTGATGTTAGATAGCATATTTCCGGATAGTATTTGTCAAGACGTTTCTCTGCCCTAACGACGGAAAGTGTAAATAGTACACCCCAAACGGTATAACTAGTCTCGAAAAAGTAAGTGCTTATCCTTCGTGAATCAGATAAAACACCAAATTATAGAGTTGCAACCAATCTTTTATTTGGTCACCAAAATATTAAATATTAAATATTGGTACATGTACTTATTAATTAATGCCTTTGTAGTAATTGATAAATTTGTATTTAATAAATATCAAATAATATTTAATATAAATATTATTAGTCCTATAATAATATTTAATATCAAAATTTTATAAATTAAATTATTAATTAACAATAATCCTAAAGTACAAATAATAATTAGTATCTAAAACATAAAATATTAAAATTAATTAACTTAACTCAAAATAATACTTAAAGTTGTATACTAATTACGTAATTTACCCTAAATTACTAATACATAATTAAAATATAAACTTATTAATATTTGAGGACTAAATGCATAATTTTACCTTAATATATATATTTAGTAGTGACTAAAATATAAATATTAAAAATATAAAAACAAAATTAAAATATACTAAAAACCTGATTTCGAGACCAAAATGGAATGTTTACAAAGCTGGAGGGATTGCGCGTATAGTTTACCCATACTAAAATTACAAAGATACCTCCCCCAAAACGACGTCGCACGAGGGAGGGTATAAATGCCCTAACACCGGCCCTAAGGCCTTTACTCTTCTCATTTCTCTCTTCTTCCTCTCTCTCTAGACGAAAGATGCTCTTTCATCTCTCTAAAAACTCTCGCCGGAGGCTCATCGATCACCGGCCGACAGTCGTGCACCACTGTCAACGGCCACCATCGGCCACCACCCACGGTGGTTGAAAAACAACAAACTTACCCTAAACGTAGATCGAGACCTCCTTGACTCGAATTCGACTTTCTTTTTCTCTAAAAAACCCTTCAATAAGCCTAGATCTAAGATTTTTACCTTCGTAAAATCTTTTTGCGAAGACCTTTGGACTTTGAAGATGGTAAACACCCTCCACTTTCGTTTCTTATTTTTGTTGTTGTGTTTTTGTGGGTGTTTGCTCTCTGTCCTTCTTGCTTGTTGTTGGCGTCTCTTCTTTGTAGGTCTAGGAGTTTATATAGCCCTCAACGATGCTCTCTTTGGACTAGTTAAAGAGGAGTACCCCGGTGAGTCACCGTATCTACGGTGGTGACTCGTCTTAGGGTTGTAACGTGTAGGGCTGGTGACCCCCTTCTGGAGTACTCTGGTAAAATTTGGAGAGGCGGAAATGGCGTGGAAGCACAAGATTGGAGGCATTGGAGTTGAAAGAATGATAACCCTAGGGTTCTTAGGGTTTTTGTTAACTTGATCTAGACCCTTGATCTACATTGAGATCGAACGATTGGGATCTTCTGACGGCCCTGGAAAAGAGATGAAACCCTAGGGTGCACGGGCTTCCTCATAGGCCTGCTGGATCTGGGCCTGACTCGTTTGCTGGGCCTGGATGAGTTTGGGCTTGCATCTGACTCAGGCTCGGGCTTTGTTATAACCGGGCCTGTGAATTACTTTGTAAATGGATCGTCCTCTTGTAAATGGGCATGTGTGCCTTGTAATTGGGCCTTCTGGTTTTGTAATAATATATTAATAATAATAATTTATAGATTATATATTATTTATAATAATATTATAAAACGTTACTCGGACGTAAACTAGTGTCGACAGCTACACCTCTTTGCTTATTTTTGTGTAAACAAGAATAAAGCAAAGATAATAAGACAAGTTTTCGTCGAGTGAATTTTTTGCTTTGCTGGGAATTCGTTCCACTACTTTTTCATGGAGATCGAATTTTGATATGATCTTATTCCTGCTTCACTACTCTTTTGTGAAGGCTAAGGATGACTTGCAAATGATTTGCTTCATTACTCTTCCGTGAAGGCTAAATTAGCATGACTTCATTACTCTTTCATGAAGGTTTCATCTGGAATAACTTGAATATAATCTGTTTCAGTACTCTTCCGTGAAGTTCAGACTCAAACTTGGATTACTCCACTGCTCTTCCGTGAAGTTCTCATACTTTGCTGAAAAATACGTTCCATTACTCTTCCGTGAAAACTGAATTTTATCTTGGTTCTTGTTTTCTGCTTCACTACTCTTTTGTGAAGTTTGATACTTTACTGAAAAATCTGTTCCACTACTCTTCCGTGGAAACTAAATTTTATTCTAGTTCTTGCTTTCTGCTTCACTAGTCTTCCGTAAGCTTGAGGATGACTTAATAAGAATTATCTTGCTTGAGATATTTTCAAATATTTCATTTTCTTTGAAAATTGAATGAGATACTTTGAAATTCGTTTTCTCATTCTTCGAACAACTTATTGGTTGGGCATGCCCCAAAATTAATGCTTCCTTTGTATGGATTGCCTTCATCTCTTCTTCAGATGTTTGCCTCTCCAAACATGTTTCATGTATTCGAGATTTGGATTCTACCTTATACTCGTAAGGTATTTTGTCCCTGCATCTTCATGTGAGAAATATATTTATGTAAATGCAATCAAATGTATCAATGAAATGCATAATGTTCTTATGAATGCATGAATGTATTAATCTTCGTCCGAATCCAAAATTTGATATTCTTCCACTTGATCATCTTTTTTCAAGGTTCACTTCAATTAATAGTCTAGCAACTTATGCTTTCAAGCTTGCATTTCCAAAGAATCATCTTGTATCTTTGTATCTTCTCTGGTCTTCAGAAGAACTGTTTCATTTATGGGATTTTTTCATACGTAGAATTATGACCTTGTTACCCTATTTCTCTTGATAACACCAACTATCTCTATCTGAACTTGAGTAGAAATCTGGAAAAGCTTCCACCTTTGAAAATAGAATCTATCATCTTTTGAAAAGAGAATCCATCATCTTTGAAATGAAAATCTATATGTTAAACTTAACAGAATTCAATCAGGATATTAGCCACGCATGTTCTGATTTGACTCTTAAAACATATTACAAGAAGGATTTATCCTAATTCCTTTCATGTCTCCACATCTAATCCAATCTCTCCACAAGAATATTCCAATTCCTTTTATGTCTCCACATCTATTCAGATCTCGAATAAGGTTCTTCAAACCATATCATGTCATGATGTTTAACAACAATCCATTGTTCAATCTTAGTTGGCTCCATTAGTTTCTTGTTGTTATAATTCCAACGTCTCTTCGTGGAAAGAAATCTTCATCATTTCTGAATCTTGGAGTTTGAAGAAAAACTTTATCTTAAGTCAACCACATGATTGTAACATTGGTTCAGCACCATAATTACTGGTTCATAAAACATTTGACAACACAATCATCCTTTCATGTGGTTTCTATCTAGATCTCTTCATCAGGGAACTCTTCGTATGATGTTTGAAGCTTTTGTATGATGTCACAATGATATTCAAGATAATATCAAGTAACATTTTACTACACATTCATCCTCTCGTGTGGCTCCTGTGGGGATAATATGTTCACATGGTGGACATAAAAGTGATATATGATCAACTCTATTGTTTCACCATTTTCATTCTTCATACCATTTTGTCTCAAGGAAATATTTGCTCCGTTCGATGACTTTTCCATAGGATGATAAGGGTCTAGCATGCCCTAGCATTTTGCTAATATAAATGATACTGATGTGATTGTTCAAAATACCCGTTTAAATCATTTTTGTCTGAAATGGGCCTTTAGCATGCCCCATATTTTATTTCTAACTGGAATGGGCCTTCAGTATGCCCCAGGATTATTTTAACTGGAATATAACCAAATTGCTTTGGATCCTTGGACGTTAGTTTCAATGCCCCTTGTTCCCTTAGGAACCCATACTTGTCTAATTTTAAAATGTTTTCCTTTCTTTAAAGGAAAAGTATGTTCCTTGTGACCATGATAATGACAATGTGAGCATATTGTCATTATTGAACTAAATGAATTATTTAAAATGATTTCTTTTTCTTTTGTTAAGCATTCAAGCTTAACTTTTAAATCAAAATTTTCTTTTTCAAAACTTTCAATTTTTATTTTTTAAAGCTCTAAATCCTTTTTCAAAATTTCATTTTGGCTTTCAAAATCTATTTTGTTTTCAAAAGAAAAACATTTTCGATTTTAAATTTTGAAATCATTTTCTTATATTTGGAGTTCATGGTCTCAAACTCTGAATATAACCTATTAAAAGCATCTTGTAACTCATCAAAAGTAAATGAATTAAATTCATTTGAGTTAGAAGATACCTCGGGCTCTTCAAGAGCCATTAGAGACACCACCTTTGTTGGTTCTTCTTTCTTGTTTCCATGGATTTCATCGAGCTTGTTCCAAAGCTCCTTGGCACTTGAACATGAAGAAACTCCTTTATAGATTTCAAGACCAAATACACACAACACCATGTGCATGGCCTTGGCATTAAGTTGAGCTTTCTTCCGTTCTTTGTCACTCCGCTTCTTCTCCTTATTCTTTGGAGAAGAGTAGTCATTCTTGATTATCTCATGCATCAAGATCATTGGATTAGATGCATACCTTCATTAATTTCTTCCAATGACGATAGTTGTCTCCATTAAAGTATGGAGGCTTGTCCGTTGGTAGGGAGTCTTCCATGTGGAACTAGCCGGAGGTGGAAGCCATCTTCTCGGTTGTGTTGGGAATTGGTAGAGATTCTTCGAGGACCATCTTAAGGTGGTTAAACCTTCTTAACGAGTTAGGCTCTGATACCAATTGTTGGGATTTTTGAAAGCTCGAATTAACAACCGGAATGGTTTGTAAAGAAGGGTCGGAATGGTTTTGTGTTTAGGGAGTAAGGAAATTGAAAGATAGAGAATTGCACAACGATTTATAGTGGTTCGACTTTCTCAACCAAAATCTACGTCCACTACCTTAGCTCCTCACCAAGGATTTTCCAACAAATTCACTAATTTGTTCTTTCTTTTGAGGATAAAGAGTAACCTTACAAACTTCATAGTTTTTCCGGGCTAAACTATAACCTTTCCCTAGCTTTTACACGGGCTAAACTAGAACCTTTCCCCTTTACAAAAGGATAAAAGATGTAAACAAGAAAATCTCTCTAAGGTAGGTGTTTACAAGATTGAGCTCACAAGAACAAAATATTTACAAGAGAAATATGAAATAAGATTAAAAAACTCTTCTCTTGTGTTTGATTACTTAGATAGTTGTTCTCTTGCTTCTCCAAGTGTCCTTAGGTTATATTTATAGCTTGGAATGTGTTTGAAGCCGTATATAGCCGTTAGGGATGTTTTGGAGTCGTTTGGAGATGAGAAATAATTAATAAAATAGCTTGGAGCGTGGGGGGAATCGGTACCCCTCATGGGGAATCAGTTCCCTAAGTGCAATCTGTTTTCGACCGTTAGACAGGGGGAATCAGTACCCCCTTGGGGGGAATCTGTTCCCCCTAGGGGGGGAATTGGTACCCCTGTGCCCCCTGGACATTCTGTTTTCTCGGAGCCAAAAACCTGCAGAGGGAATCTGTACCCCTTGGGGGGAATCTGTACCCCCTGGACAATCTGATTTTTCTTGGCTTTGAAATGATTCGAAATACTTTGTAAAATTGTTTTAAAAATAGTTGAAGTATAAAACACAATTTTACACTTTAGTAAGGATTAAAATGAACTTTGAAACACTTGGAGTAATATTTTGATATTCGAATAATTACATCGAATATACTTAGAAAATCTTTTGTAAAATCTTAAAATTCATTTAACTTAATTTGTTATATCGAAACATCAAAATGTTTTCAACAGAAATTGTTCTTTGTTGATGTCCCTTTGGATTGCCAACCCCTCAATCCTGGTCCATTACAGACTTTTGGATTAAGTTCAATTCGAAGGAACACACTTCCTTATGTCCATACGGAGGTCAAAACCACACGAGGAAAATAAGGTGTGAGCTCAAAGAATGGTCCCCTATCCCATACGGAGGTGAAAACCACACGAGGGAATAGTTTCTCATTCAATTAAATAGGTTAAGAGCGGGGTTTTAGCTCAAGTCATGAATACAGTGCACAGTGGGTGAGGAAAAGCATAAAATAAAATACAACCAATTATTTTATTCTAATGACCAAAATTAAATCTGTACATATATAGAAAAACAAAAGTTAGTAAAATAATAAAAATAAATAAAACAAAATTAAAATAAATTTATTATTTACTACAAAGACAATTAATTAATAAATTGGTGACTGGACTCTCATTTTTTTAAATTCCCCAGTGGAGTCACCAAGCTGTCGAGACGTTTCTCTGCCCTGGCGACGGAGAGTGCAAATAGTACACCCCAGAAGGTGTAACTAGTCTCGAAAAAGTAAGTGTTTATCCTTCGTGAATCAGATAAAACACCAACTTGTAGAGTCTCCACCAATTTTTTATTTGGTGAGATTGGTCACCAAAATATCATATTATTTTAATAAAAATTCATAATAATAATATTAAAATAATACAACTCGGGTATGCTTACCAGAAAAATGAGTTTGGGAGTCGATTATGTATGGGGAAGGATTAGCACCCCAAAACGTCCAAAATTGGTACCGATACTTATTAATTAATGTCTTTGCAGTAATTGATAAATTTGTATTTAATAAATATCAAATAATATTTAATATAAATATTATTAGTCCTATAATAATATTTAATATCAAAATTTTATAAATTAAATTATAAATTAATAATAATCCTAAAGTCCTAATAATAATAATTAGTATTTATAACATAAAATATTAAAATTAATTAACTTAACTCAAAATAATAATTAAAGTTGTATACTAATTATGTAATTTACCCTAAATTATTAATACATAATTAAAATATAAACTTATTAATATTTGAGGACTAAATGCATAATTTTACCTTAATATATATATATATATATATATATATATAGTAGTGACTAAAATATAAATATTAGAAATATAAAAACAAAATTAAAATATACAAAAAAACCTGATTTCGGGACCAAAATGGAATGTTTACAAAGCTGGAGGGATCGCGCGTATAGTTTACCCATACTAAAATTACAAAGATACCCTCCCCAAAACGACGTCGTACGAGGGAGGGTATAAATTCCCTAACATCGTCCCTAAGGCCTTTACTCTTCCCATTTCTCTCTTCTTCCTCTCTCTCTAGACGAGAGATGCTCTGCCATCTCTCTAAAAACTTTAGCCGGAGGCTCATCGATCACCAGCTGACAATCGTGCACCACCATCGACCGCCACCGCCGGCCACCATCCACGGTGGCCAAAAAATAACAAACTTACCCTAAATGTAGATCGAGACCTCCTTGACTCAAATCCGACTTCATTTTTCTCTAAAAACCCTTCAATAAGCCTAGATCTAAGATTTTTACCTTCAATAAAGTCTTTTTTCCTACGACCTTTGGACTTCGACGATGGTAGGCACTCTCAACATTCGTTTCTTGCTTTTGTTGTTCTTGTTGTTGTGTTTGTGTGGGTGTTTACTCTCTGTTCTTCTTGCTTGCTGTTGGTGTCTCTTCTTTGTAGGTCTGGGGGTTTATATAGCCCTCGACGATGCTCTGATTGGATCGGTTAAAGAGGAGTACCCCGGTGAGTCACCGAAGCTACGGTGGTGACTCACCCTAGGGTTACAACGTGTACGGCTGGTGCCCCCTTCTAGAGCCTTCTGGAGTGCTCTGGTGAAATCTTGAGAGGTGGCAACGGAGTCGGAAGAATGATAACCCTAGGGTTCCTAGGGTTTCTGTTGCCTTGATCTGGACCCTTGATCTGTGTTGAGATCGAACGGCTGGGAGCTTCTGACGGTGCTGGAAAAGAGATGAAACCCTAGCATGTACGGGATTCCTCACAGGTCTGTTGGATCTGGGCCTGACTCGTTTGCTAGGCCTGGATGAGTTTGGGCTTGCATCTGACTCAGGCTCAGGCTTGGTTATAACCGGGCCTGTGAATTGCTTTGTAAATGGGTCGTCCTCTTGTAAATGGGTCTGTGTGCCTTGTAATCGGGCCTTCGGGCTTTGTAATAATATAATAATAATTTATAGATTATATTATTTATAATAATATTATAAAACGTCACTCGGACGAAAATTAGTGTCGACATTATTAATTTCTCTTCTCCTGATTTATTGCATAAAGAATTCATTACATCTGAATGTGGCCTCATGCTTCCTCAAAATTGGAGAATGCAGAACCTCTATCGAGGCGTGTAATAAGATTTATTGTGACTTCAAACTGATGCTCTTTATCTTTCTCTCATTTATTAGCATGGTTTTCAGAACCGGACCGGTTAGTGAGCCGACCATGCTACCAGTTCACTTGTTCAACCGGTCGAACCGGTCCGACCGATCAAAAGAATCGGATGATGTCATAATTATTTAAAAAATTAAATAAAAATACCAAAAATATTTAATAAAAAATAATTTTTTATATCACAAGTCATATTCAAAGCAATTCATAACATATATAAGTTAAAAACCATAAAATCAAGTAAAACAAAATGATTCAAATTAACTACAACATAATATTTAAGGTAAAACATATTAAATAATAAATATAATTATATAACTATAATTAAAAAATAAATTTGGGCTAAAAAAATCATAACAAAATGATATTGTTTGGTTTAATTTTTTTTAAAAACAATCCCACATGGCTAAGAAACATAGAAGAGCATCCCAAAAGTCTAAAGAGTAAAAATATGAGAACAAAAGAATCCCACATGGCTAAGAAACATAGAAGAGCATCCCAACTAACTTCTATAAATAATAGAGGTAATTTGGCATTCAAAATCATGGAGCCTTTTGGTGAGCATTGAGTGAACTATTCTTTTACTTCAATCAAGCTCGAATTTTAGGCTTCAATCGAGCTTCTAAATTTTTTATGAGTTCAAGCCTTTTCGAGTTCAAGTTTTAATATTATATTTCGAGTTCGAGTTGAACTTGATAATTTTTAGCTCGTGAGTTTGAGTCAGGTTGAGCTTACTTTTAAAGTTTTAAAGTTCGAGTCGAGCTCAGCAATACTCGCATTCGACTTGGCTCGTTTAACAAACGACAACGTTTGGTTTAATTTTTTCTATAAAAAAACAAAATTTTCGGTTTTTTCCAGTTTTTAGCTGGTCCGGTTCGAGCGGTTCCGGCCGATTCACTAATAGTGGTTCAACCGATGTAGATTGAACCGGACTAGACAGCGGTTCCCGGTTGAACCGGTTGAACCGGTCCGGTTTTTAAAACACTGTTTATTAGGAAGAAGAATAGAAGAAGAATATTTTATTTATTTTAGGTTTAATTATCAAATTAGCCCTCCCAGTCTTCCTTTTTCCCACTTTGCACTCTAAATATTTTTTGTCCCGTTTTGGCTCTTAAAGAGTTAAAGTACACTTGTTTTCCCATTTTGCTCCCTGGAATAATTTTGACCAATCAACTCGTGCCACATTTCATCTAGGTTTTGTTTTTATTCTTATGAGTTGCAACATAGTGTGTTTTCGTTGGTCCAAATTGTTCCCGGGTACAAAATGGGAAACATATATACTTTAAGGGCCAAAATGAGACAAAAGAAATTTAGGGTGCGAATTGAGCTAATGTGTATAATTGGAGGGATAAATTGTGAATTAAGCCTTTATTTTATTATTGTCTGGGAAAAGATGCATATTATGATCATAGATAACCAAAGGCATAAAATCTATTTCCTCCCAGAGTTAAAGATATTAAATTAATCAGATTGTTTCAAAATTAATTTGTTGATTAGTTTCTGAATTTCCACAAGGACATAAAATCAAGCTTCAAGGTTTATTGTTGAACCAACGTAAGAAATAAAGATAGAAACTACCGAAACAGTACATTTCAAAATACTTTGTCCTGAGCTGCTGATGTCCGACTTCTTTACTTGACTGGTTGTCTGATGATGTGTATCAAATTTGGAGATTGATACGTTTTACTTAAACTACGAAGGTTTTAGATGCAACGCCTTTACATGCAAAGGCTCTATAGCGTCGTGGAATGGCTTACATGGCAGCTGGAGATTTTGCGGAAGCAAGAACTGATTTCGAAACGGAAGTTATAATGTAATCCTTTATGCTTATTGCTCTCTAACTTGAATCTTTACCAGTCTAAATTCCTGTTTATATATCAGATGGTCAAAGTTGATAAGTCCTCAGGGCCAGATGGAACTGCTGCTCTAGCAAAACTGAAGAAGAAAGAGCAGGTCTGCTAATCAATGATATATTTTCTCTGCCATTCGACACAATGCAAACATGGTAATTCATTATGTATCTGTACTGAGTTTTGAGCAGGAAGTGGAGTGGAAGGCTTGGAAACAATTTAAAGAACAAGAAGCCAGGAGAAATTGCAGAAGCTCAAGTTGAAGATAGACTGGAGGTGAGATCACCGATGAAAACCAGACGAATGAGTTGTCGGAGCCATTACTAGAAGGAAATGAGCCTTAACATTCTAATGAAGCTGATGATGGTCAACGTCAAATCGGCTGGTTTTTCAGCCTGTGGCCTTCTGGTGGAAGAATATTTGCAGCTCTTGGCCTTGACAGATGTACCATACTCTGATATTCTAAGGTCAGGACCCTAAACTTATTAACATTGGCCGCAGAAGAGATTCTTAAATTAATTTCCAAGGAAAGAATAAAATCTGTCTAATTTTAGAAAAAATGAAAGGTTTCTTCCTGTCTTTCAATGTCGTTCTGTTCCATAGGTCTCTACTTCAAAATTTAACACCACTACCATAAAGAAAACAACCCATTTTCCCCCTCATATTGTTGAAGATCGAAACTGAGGTTATAAGAAACTTTTAAGAGCATCCAATGATTTACAATATTTGTTGTTACATATGTCATATATGAATAACTTGTGGCTAGAAAGGGCCTGACTTGAGGTGATAGAGTGATAGTTGATTTTTTGTATTTGAAGTTAAAAACAGGTTTACTGAAACCAACCAAATGGTAGAATGTAAATATCATGAGGGATTCCATTAAAAATAGTTGTGTGCAATACTCTTACAATTTCATATAGGAATCCTTTATTTATCTATAACATGCACACAAAATTCATAGCTAAAGCTTTAACGATCATGCTCAAAAGAATTTGGTGGAGACTGCACATATTTCACTGAGCTTAATTATATCATTGTTTTTAGAAGCCAAGCCTGTTAAATTGCGTCCTCTTATGAGAGTTTGTCACCTTTTAGTTTCATGTGCAGCAGTAAAGAGATAATTAACCATGGCCTTGATGTTTTTACTGTAAAACGAGCTGTTAGCACTCCAGAGGTCCACCATGGCTTTCATGTTAAGATCCCAACATCGTTGGAGCCGCACCTGGTAGTGATGCGGATGACCAGCTGAGGCAGAATCATTGAGTAAACTGGAAATTATTGTTCCAACTTCCAATGATCTTATATGTGCCCAACCCAAAGCTGTACTAGCAATCCCTTCGGCTGTTAACGGTGGCCCCGGGATCATGGTACCGATACAATTTCTGTCTTCCACGAGGTCTTTTCCGTTCAAATGCTCTCCATACGAGGGATTGATGATGACAACTGATATCAGTAGCAACAATGGCGAGAAAACATGAGTGTGAAGTCGGGCCATTTCGTATTCTAATTTACTCGGGTAATATTTTAAGCCATGTCTGTAGACCTTTTCAAATAGTTCAAGAGATGATATGGGGATAGGAAATCATTTACGTGTAAATGTAGATTCACTCAATATATATAATCAATAGTGTCAAGTTCATTACAACTTCCAACTTGGTTTTCATGATATATGGGTTGCAAGTTTTCATGAAACTTAAGGGAGACACAGTGGTAGGAATTCCCTGTTTAATTGATTGTCAACAAAAAGAACCGAAATCAATACTTGTTCTTTCTGGTATCATCACTAAGCCTATACCCAATGATCACCACTACAACACTAGGCCCATCAAACACCGTATAACTTCGGCAAAATTGATCTAACAGACTAGGTAGATAAAAAAATTTCATTAGGTCTCCAAAATTAATTTGGAATCTAAGACAATTGAACAGTATAGGAAAAACTTTTCATGCCCACATGACGAGTTTATCCAAATAATATTATTTTATTCAAACTCATTAAGTCGACGTGATGAGTTCTAAAAAATATTTTTTATTATATTTTGTCACGTTAGAATGATAAATTATAATAAAAAATATATTTGACGAAATGTAAATCATTATAACAAATATCGTAGTTTTCAAAATAATTTATGTAATATCGTATTAGGCTAAATAAAAAGCCCACTTACCGTATTGGACCAATTTCACCTATAGCTTCTGCTATTACAACCATAGTCCCTCGAACACTGGATTTACTATTTCGTAGGATTGAAGTTTGGCAGAGTAAGATTTAGACTCCAAAAATTCACGGATTCTATTTGAAAAAAATGACTTCGATTATTCTGACTAGTAATTTTATAAATTTATTTGATCCGAAAAAAAATTAAATTCAAGTCGAGATATAAAATAGAGCTCGAACAACTCGAAATTTTTAGTAATTAGTGATTTATTTTCAAGTATGAGTAAAGTTTATCACTTTGTATGATATATGTATACCATATATGAGAAAGTTTGAAGAAATATACATATATTATATATAGTTATAGAAAATCGTTTAAATTAAACTCAAATAGTACCATAATATTATAAATATTTATAATTAAATTTAAATAGAAATTCAGACAACTTGGCTCGATTCAAATCGACTTGAAAAAATTCAAATAAAATTTGAGCTATAAAATAAAATTTGAGCTATAAAATAAAACTCATCAATTCGAATAACTTTAAAAATATTTTACTCAACTCGATCGGACTCTCACCTTTATTTGACACATTTTTGACGTGTTCATTTTGTCTATCCCTCAATTTTTATTAAGAAACATTAACAGGGATTTATATGGGGGGAGAAAGAATCTTGCAAAACTGGTTTCCAAGGAATCCCCTGTAGCTGAAATTTTAATTATTCGCATTTATTCACATATTATTTTACCAAAATATAAATGTCAGCTTTTTATTAAACCAAAACAAAATAAAACCAACTAAAGGTATTGAGTGCCACCTGCTAACTTGTTCATCTAGAATAATTAAAATCAAAACCAGAGACACCTAATAAAATAAGTACTAAAACTACACCAAAACACGAAATAAAACCACTTCAAAGAAAACCGCTGGCCTTTCATCTTTTATGT